TTTCAGGGTGAAAAAAATCAACTATTTGGTGTAATTTTTTAATTTTGTATTTTGATTATTTAAAATCATAGACTAAATTTAGAAGCTTTTGTTCTAACGACAATCACAATTGACTTTAAATTTAAAAAAAAAAAGAACTTCACCTCAGACTTTAATTTACCAGAACTGATCTCCTTACTTTCGCTTCTGAAACGATTTGTGATTTTGATCACGGTTCATTTGTTAAAAAGCGTGTGAATTAATTCACTTGCGATGATACGATTTTTTTTTTAAATGCCAAATAGAACATTAATTAACGACTAAAAGCGATTGATTGATTTTAACGATTTTCGAGATTGCCTGTTACGAAAAAATGGTTAAAATTAATTAAATCAGAGGTTATCGTGGTGAAAGTTTACGGGCCAACTCTCGGATAAAATAGACATGTTATGGTAATGATATGTTATGGGTCTATATTCGTATGAGTTGGTAGTAATAAATTGTCACAAAGCTATGTATTTGCTTTGCAATTAGGCGTTTTACACATAAAACCAAGCTTCACGTATGTATTTTTAATGGGAAATAATTTTATAGCAGCTTTCTAGCTTTATAGGGAACCTACCTATAAATATGAGCATCTTAAATTTTCCTCATGCTATGATTTCTGTTTTTTGAAGTAAAACTTCTTTAGGCGCGACTGGAAAGTAAATTCGTACAAATGCAACGGAAGTGCGTTACGGCAGATAAAATAAAACAAGAGTCGAGTGCCATAGATTCGTCATTCACTCTCGATGATATCATTTCTATACGGGTCGATTGTGATTAGTCGTCGCGTATGTGAATAGAGATCTGTTGTTGTATGCATACCGGCATCAACGTTGTATGCGTACCGATATCGACAAGGACATCGGCGTAGATAAATAAACATCTTAAAGTTACATCGTAGTACAAATCTTGATTTAATGTAAAATGCCTGAATCAGAAGAATATTTTACCCTGTTTCTTGAAAATAATAAAACAAATTAAGCATTTGTACTAAACGTAAGCTCATTGATTAGAAATTATTTCTATATTATTCGTAGTATCTATAAATCTTTGAAATAAAAAAATACCATCAGTCAATGAATGTATGTTATATTTTAATTACATGAAGTTCTTCAAACACAATTATTACATGATGAGTGAAATTGTGAAAACAATATTTGTTTAGGCGTTGTTTAACATAATCCACTGTGTGAACGAATATTATAAAAGTTATTAATCAGCAATTTTTTCATTTTCCAATGAAGATTTAAGTCGTAAATGCTAATTACAATGACAAACCGATCATATCATATTCGAAGTATGACTTTGATTACATTTTTGTTGTCGAATATTATACATATTTTTAATGCTATTAAAAATATAAAATTTTTAATTTATGATTATATAAGTGTGTATAATGGTCGACACTAATGAATGTGTGCATCACGAGTGTTACCATATTACTGATAAACATTCAAAATTGTTATGTGATGTATTTATTTTTACTTAAATGCCATCTAATATAGTAGAAAATAAGTTTTACTTCAATCGAGTGTGAACCATACGCGCACTCTTTTTTCAATTTATTCGGTAACCTTTTAGAATATTGAAATGCAGTTTTCTTGTTATTTTTGCATACACGACAATTCACCTGTTTTTATTTGAAGCTTGTACGAGCTTGGAAAGTTTATAAAAAAAAATTGAAAAAAAAAACTTTATTTTGTCTAATAAAATTTTTAAACTTTTATAACTTCTGAATGATTTATCATAGAACTTTGATGTTTTTGGATAAAATATTGTAAATCAAAAGATCTTTAACTAAAATCAGTAATATTTATGATACTTCTTACCGTTCGCGAGATATTTTAAAAACTGTTGGAAATTTTTCGCACAATATATGTATTGTATTAGTCCAGTCATTTAGGATTAAATTAGGTAAGAATCTCGGAATTCGAGATACCCAGCTGTAAGTCTGTGAATACTTGTATATTAACACCCTAAAGTTGTCTCAAAACCTACATATGGTTTTGACATCCTACTATATGTAGGTTTTGAGACAACTTTTAGGGTGAAAAATACAAGTATTTACAGACTTACAGCTGGGTATCTCGAATTCAGAGATGAACTTACTACAGTGACTGGACTATATCCAAGAATTGGCACCTAAGTAAAATTACAACAACATTATTAACTATCTATATTTTTACAATGATCCAAATCGTTGGCAATCACTGCCACAAAACCATTATATTAGACTTGACTCGACTTGGATACGCAAAAACTTTCTAAAACTTTTCGAAAAGTTAGTAGATTAACATGTTATCACCAGCAAATTGATACCACTTATTCGTAATAACGTCATACGATATGCCGGCAACGAAAGTGAAAATCGTGAAGTAGAAAACTGGAAATCAAATGTAAAAAATATAAGTAAATTTTATTATAAACGATGCATAATATTAGGTATTCAATGCGTGAATTATTGCTGGCGGAACTATCGTTGAAAAAACATTTTTACGATGGTAATTGGGTAATTGAATTAGCCTTTCAAATATTTCCTTGTATGAAACCTACAAAAAACTTCTTAAAGAATATTTTGTAGAGTATGAGTTGCACCAACAAATCGTTCCAATAATTTTTTGTGAATATTTTTTAAATTCATTAATAAAAGTTACAAAATTCTTTAGTCTGATGTTCGATGGTATCTATTATACTTTTTAGTTAATGAGTTAATTATTTCATATAAATAAATTTTGAATAATTTGATGTTAGTAAATAACTAATAATCTAATAAGTTACTAAACACTTCTAATATTATTCTATTTTTTTCAGGTAAGTTGCTGTTTGTTGACGATCAGTATTCATTTTGGTAAGATTAACTATTCAGTATTACTAAGATTTTTAATTTTTAAAGTTCACTTATACGGTTCAAACAAATTCCAAAATTTTCAGATTTTTGTTTCAAAATTTTCAAAATATATATATATATATATATATATATACATGAAATTTTAAATTTACAATTGTACATATTTACGTGTTTCATATGTATTAATGTATTATTTTACTCGTAAGAAATATATCCTCAGATGGATTCATTCGCCATCTCTTGTTAATGTAAACATTCGTGTACCATTCTAGTATCAGTTACAGCAGTAATTTTATTTAATATCCAAAAATTTATTTGCAAATCAATAAATTTTGATGAATTTATTCAAATCGGTTATATTACGTCAAATATATTAAAAATTTGTATTATAGTACACAATGACCAAGAATATTAATTTGTTCTCAAATAATTTTCAACTTGCATCAGAGAACCTAAAATGGATCTGCATCCAAATTCCTCAACAAAATTTATTAAAGTTTCTTAGTTTTTACTTGGAATTAGAGAAGAACAACTTCAGTAAGCAATCA